TTTTGGGAAAGCAAGGCTATGTGGAATTCAATGGAAACGTCAGCTCTACTCATATCATTGTGGGAAAATTCTTCTTATACCAGTCCTTCATCACCTTACACGAAATAGAGTGAATACATCTCATTATAAATATTGAATTTGCCCTTACAAGTTACTCATAAGTAGCGCAAATGAGAATTGTACATCGAATCAAGTCGTTTAAATTATCTTCGCCAATTGAAATACACAACTCTCGCATAATCCTAGCGGCAAAAGAATTGAGTCGGCGGCGATCAATCTGCTTTTTAAATTTTCACAGAATTTCAGATAGCTCCTTAGTTTTAACCGTAACCTCACCTTAAATCCTGCAAATTGCCCAAACCTGCATACAAGCTCTATGAAAGGCAAAATCAAGCAGCGTCTTGGAGACAGACGCCAAAGATGGTCTTTACAGACATAATAATGTATGGGGGTAGCTCTGCAACCTGTGCCACTTAGCTTCAGTTACAGACGAAAACTAAATGGACACTCACGTTCGCTTTTTCTCCAAAAGCGTCATAAAGGTGGTAATCAGTTCTAAATACGAGGTAGGCGTGACGTAGTTGTACCGGCCCACTTCGATCCGATAGCGATCAGAAAGCGTACAGGTGCTAGTATGGAAATATTTACAGAGCTGGATGCTGCTGTCACAAGCCTCATCGTCCATTTGGATCTCACTCAATGACCGAGTCGCCACCGCGGTCAAAGCATCTTCCGGCCAGGCCTGAAAAGTGAAAATTTGAGTGAGACATGATACAAAATTCCTTCATTGACGCAAACATAAATAAATCTGAAACAAGATCTTTTTTCATCTTAAGACAATTCAGATGATAGTTATATTTATCGAAATAAAATGAGCTGACAAAACTGAGCAGATTAATTTCACCCGGCTTTGCCTCCTAAAAGGCTTCCTCATCCAATCACAACTGTAATGTAGACCTTGCTTTACTGTATCATTAATACTTCGAAGTATTCGTAACCAAATCGCTTACGTGAAGTGGCAACAGGTCTCCACTCATCCAGATACCAGTGAGTTAACAGTCAGATGTGACTTTCAGGGCAGGCTATGCTACTCCTATTTTACATTTCTATTAAAATTGTCAATGAGGCAGAATTGCAATT